CAAAACTTTAGCCCAACAGATCACTCTAAGCTGTATGTAAATCCTCATTCTAAACCCCTGTGCTCTTAAATCTTACCAAAATCATTTCTAGTAGAAAGCCTAACTCATCTGTTTTCTGACATTCACCTTCTCTGTCATCAGGTACTTATTAGACAGTAAAAGAGCTGACAGTGGCAAACACCATAAACTAGCAAAATAGCTGACTTATGTAGCAGTTGCATGTTACACCTGAGTAAACGTTACAGTTCAGCAGGTACAGAGGAAGCTGCACATGGATAAATGCACAAGAACCCAAAGGAGTGATCTGTGAGTGGCAGCCTGAGCACTCTGCAATAGCATGCAACCTAGATCAACAGGCATCTATGGGGAAGGGAAGCACAGAACCATTCTTCCAGATTTAAAAAAAAAAAAAAACAAACATGCAGAAATGGTAGGAAAAGGTATTTTGAATGTGTTACTCGCAATCCACTGAAACAATGCCTGCAACAGCAGTTAGAACACTGGTAAACTACATTTTCTGTTCCACAGAAAGCAATAAGCATCGTCTGTTGCCAGCTGCCATTAGCAAAGGCATTATGACCAGCAGAAGTGTGTAGGGCACCAAAAATTAAACTTTTAAATATGCCACATACAAGATACTCATTCTCAGCACAGTCCACAAGGTTAAGCAATTGTAAAACAACTTGTGAGAGTAAGAATCCTGAAGTCTGCCTTAGGTTAAGTTAGTTTTAAAATTACGTTTTATTTTGGTTTTTTCCAAGTGAAATAAAAGAATCTTGGTAAAGTGATTCTCACACACTGCAGAAACACACACAGTGTTTCTCCCACTGTGAAAGGAGTATAAAAATACTCTTATCTACATGTTAGACAGAGTGACCGAGATCACGGCAGAATCTGCACTTCCCCACGGATTAAAAGGAACAGTCTGGGTGCTTTGTGCCTCCTGTGTAGCCGGAGTGTGCAGTTGCCTGGTAACTTGTTCTGAGCTATTGCATGCTCATCACACGTACCTGTAGGAATACAAAGCTGACCGCTTAGGTTCATCAGCCAAAACAGTTTGCAGCAACACAATAGTTTAGAGCAGTTCAGGGAGTTTAACACTGAATTTAAGTATATGCTTATATGGTTTGATGAACAGAACTGTTATAAATAAAAAGGAAACTATAAAAGTTATAAGTAAGTGATTTTACAGCATACAAAAGGCATAGTCTACAAACCAAATATCAATTATTAGCAATATTTACCTTTTCATAGGTCATCAAGTAATGTCTCAGACTCAACAAGGACTAACTGACAGAGCATTATGATTTGAAAATTTTACAAAAGATCTAACAGAGCACCCAAAACTGAGGTGTTTGTATTTGGGCTAGACTCACTGTCTTCAGTAAGTATGTATCTTAATTCCAACACAGGATAAAACCAATCTATGAGTTTCCTCTTGCAAAAATTAAACTGTTCGCTCTTATTTAAGACATTACATTGTGCAAATAATAAGTAACCAGCCAATCCCTCCCACCCAGCTACAAACCATGACCACATACAGTCCCTGGATCAGACTACAGAAGATCCTGTTTCATTCCAGCCATGTCATTAGTATAAGCTCTGCAAACCCTTTTAAATCAACAGGCTTCTCAGGCATAAAAGCAGAATCCAACAGCAGTTAAACCACATCTTACAACCGACAACGTAGTACTTCCATCACCGAGGAAGTGGACCACAACAAAAAAGAACAGGTCTTTATTGTCCTTAATGAAATTGAGGGGCCACAAGAAAACAGTGAAGTTATGAGCATGGATTCTGTAACGCCACTATCACTGTAATTTCCAGGTCAAAGACCCAGCCTCCTGGTAAGATGATCAAATATAATTTTGATTTCAGGTGACAAGTCATCACCACACTACATTAGGTACAGTAAAAAATCTTATCATCAGGCTCTCAGCTCATTCTGCTGAAGTCAATGAAACCAAACTTCTGCTGAAGTCAATGAAACCAAACACACCACCATTTGAAAGAAATCTTTCAGTGTGCCTCAGATAGGGAAAAATATCTGGAAAAATGACCATAATTTTTATTACAAATTCTGTGTATTTCCCACGATCTCTCAACACTGAGCAGTAGTAAGACCCTGATATTTACTTTCAATATATTTCTTACTTAGCATTAATTTTAATTTTAAAAGGGGCAACTGGTAAGATTTTCAGAGCTACTAACAAAAATTAATAAGCAAATACATTTGTTCCAAGATGTAAATTACTTGGCTAATTTAAAGACTATCAAAAGACTACTAAAGACTATAAAAGCTCTATAAAGTACAATAGATACCTTTACCTACTAATGTAGGAAACTACAAATTTCAGGAGATGACCAAAGGTGCAGAGGATAGGCTAAGCTAGAAAAACAAAAAACCCCATGAGTTCTATGGAAAAAAAAATGAGTGAGTAGCCCACGACATTAGCAGACAAAAGACTTTTTATCCCCACTTCCTCCACCCATTTTTTTTTTTTTTTTAATTTTAAAGGAAATAATTTTTCCATTGTGAAACATTGTCAGGGATGCAGTGGATGCCAAAAGTTTAAATGAGTTCAAGAGAGCATCAGCCAAATTCTAAGACGTATTAGCACTACTGCTCATGTTGAAATGCAAAGTACATCATGTTGAAATGCAAACAGCTATCTTGATAACGACACATATTATTCACTAAATTTGTCATTTACCCTGTTGTACAGTTACTCATGTTGAAAAGAGTCACTGCCGTGCAAGAAATGCGACTTGGAGCACCTTGTGCTTTGAGAACCATGGCCCACCAGCATATGGCCATGAAGTTGAAAACAAAACCCCAAAAAATGGAAGAAACCATCACTGTGCATGTCATAAGCATGACATTATTTTAAATGACCTACTTGTATGGCAACTTAAGTAGCATTCTGGAAAACACCAGTGTCCACAACTTCTACAGGACAGTGCAGTATGATTAAGCACTAGATTTCTAGGGGAGGGAAAACAACATCACTAGTCATTTATTCAGTTGAAAATCTTACTACCACCACTTCCAAAGCAATGAACTACAGGAATACTGAATGCAAAGCAAACCAGACCTGTCTGGAATACTCTGGATTCTCAGCTGAGCGTTAAAAAATCTTTCCTTTCATATTATAAAAGGATTAACAGCATTTGAATGCACAGAAACTGTTTTTAGAGTGATGTCTGCAGACCTCTGAGTCATGAATAAAAATGTCTTCCTAAAAGATGTCTCAGTACTTCCTCTGGAAAACAAAACCAAAAACAAACAAACAAAAAACATGGAAGGAGGAATTGAGGCAATACCAAATCTTTTTTTCCAGAGATAACACAATCTTGAGAAAACAAGATGTTTGTGCTGTCAGAATAAAAATCCCAGAAGAAACAAAGTAGTTTACCTTCCCCTTTGCGAAGTTGCTTTTGAGACAAGATCTGCCCTTTTTCTTTCCCAAGCATGAAACCCTTTTCAGTTTAAGACTGCTTTCAAAATACTCAGTGAAGTAGAGATTAAGTGCACGCACCAGAACATGTATAGGATATTATTTAAAAAAAACCCAACATGACAGTACTACGCTAGCTAGAAATCTTTTAAGTGTTCTGATTAAAAGACTCAACTTATTTCTAGGAAATAAAGTGTTTGGAGTGAAAACCGATGAATGATGTTCCAATCAAATGTAAGTTTAAAAAAAAAAAGTATCTTATTTAATTGATGTATTAAAAAAGCTGAAGAAAATGGGGACAGAAATGAAAAACCATTCAAGGAGTCAATGGTATAGATTGTCACTATGCAATCTAAATGTTTCAATTGCAGATCACATATTCAGAACAAGTCAGTCAGAAGTAGCACACTCCCTGAGAGTCACTTTCCCCTTTAACAGCTTAAAGCAATAAGTTCTCACTGTATTTCAAGCTACGACCCAGCAAGCAGAGGCAGCTTTTCTGTCAGAAAAAGCAAGGTAAAAGCACAGCAACTTCCTTACAGTCTCTTGCTCCTGAGCCCCCTTCTTCAACTCTTCTTTCTTCTCCTGGGGACGGGAAAACAAAGCACGTCCCATCCCTGTGAGCCCTTGCTGTCCCCTGATTGTGCCTATGGTAACAGGGGGCACCTGTGATTCCTCTCCAGAGGTATTTACACACAGAAATCAGTTGAGCAGTGTATTGTAGAAGCATAAGCTGCAGTGGACATGAATTAGAATCAGTTATTTTTTGTCCATCGTGACAAAATAAAAACAGCAATTCCTTACTTTACAGAAGTTCTCCTAAATAGTTGCTCCCAATATCTGTAAAATGTTTATATCACAGGAGAGAACAGAAGCAGCCAAATGAACATTCACTCTAAAAGGAATACTCCCAACTACGCAAGCAGGCACAGGCAGCTCCCAATTTAATCGAGTACACACAGCACCACTTGGTGGTGAAAGTGAAGTCACTGCTGACACAAATGAGTAGTTTTAACACCAGCCTTTTTTCTGTTTGGTTGGTTTTGTCGTGTTTGGGTTTGTTTTTTTTTTTCCCCCTCTTTTTTTTTTTTTTTTTTTTTGTCCCCTGAACATGAACTAGGTCTGGTCTGTCTGTCCTCACTTGTCAAATACCATTAGTGCCTTTACTGTAAGAAAGTGTATCTACCAAGCAAAAGAAGCCCAAGAGAGCTGAACCTCAAGGCAAGCAGAACCAAAGGCTGCTGAGCACTGAATAGATGCATCCACTTTGAAGAACTTTTGGAATTCTCCGGCATTCCAGCCCACAGTTTCTGGTGACCCAGCCTGAAGCAGTGTTTAAACAAATGATCCAGCTTAGTCTCTGCCTGTATGCCAAAGAACAGCAATCTCTTGGCTCACGACCTGTATTTTATATACACTTGGGCCATAAAGAAATGCAACAGATGTAGAAAAAATGAAGACTGACAGCAACTGAAACATAACTATTATTTTTCCATCAACCAGTTATAAAACTATCTAACTTACAGGACACAACACAGTACCTAACAAAAAGAAAGCCTTTTATTCAGGGCAGATCAGTGCATCTTTACAAGAAAGCCACTATGATTTCAACTTACAGTCAGCATTATTACTACCAATGCACCTTTCCTGAAGACGAAATCCCTGTCTTTTACCAAATGTCAACTGCAAGAGTGCATAAACAAAACACACACACAAACAACCCACACCCATAATGGAAAAGGTCTATTTAGATTATACGTGTGTATATATAGATAAAACACATCTTCATAGATGACAACTGCATCAATTTATACTTCAGGTCCTTCTCCTCCAGGAAACAGCTAGAAAAGAATAAGACAATTTTGCTTTAGTGCCATAGATTTGAGTTTTACAAACCCATACATGACAGTTCTTGCTTTGCAATGCTTTAGCAGATGGAGACTTCTTGGTAGATCACAAAAGTGGGGTTTAGATTTGATATTATCTTCCTCTCCCAACAGTGAAATTCAGTTACTGCCAGAGAAGCACATGACAAAAAGAATCTCCGAAACACAAAGAATGATTAACAAAACCCAAAGGAGTTCCTAGATAACATACATTCCGGGTTTTGTCTTTGTTATTGACTTCAAGGAGATTATATTCTGACTAGGAACACTACAGCTCAGTTTCAAAAGGACAAAGAACATGCTTCCTTTCATGAAGAATGTCTCCAATTGCTGATTTTTCCCCAGACTGTCCTCTTTCTAACTTCTATTGCTAAGCAAAGACCAAAAACTAAAAAAGAGCCTGAACCCTTCTAAGAGGCAGCAGGGAGTAAGACAGCATACTGTTTTCCTGTGAAGAAAGTAGAGAACTGAACAACAGAAAAACAAAAGGAAAAACATCAGTAAGGGAAAAGAGGATAACCATTCCCTTTACTGATCTATTCTTAATAGCTGAGCACTTCTAAAGACAGAGCTCTGCTGCTTTTGGGACCAAAGTAAGAAAAAGTCTAAAGCACAGTCTTCCTGATGTGGGAAGATGTGTCCCCAAGAGCCACAAGATCTAATGCAGAAACATCTCTCTGTCTTGCTAAAAATTTGCACTAAGAATCATCAGCTTCAAGGGAAGCATACCACCAGCTTAACTGGATGGTAGCAGTGTCACCCCATACAAGAAGTCAGAACATGCACTATCCTTTAAGGATGCACAACAATAACCAAAGCAGGAAAAGGCTTAGAAATTACGTCAAGACAGCATTCCTCAGTGAGGAGGTGCAACGTAGGTAAAACAGTGAAATGGAGATTATACCTCATTCACACAGAGCAGACTTCAACTCAAGTCAGTCTTCCTCTTCTCTCCCCACAAAATTAGGAATGCCCTTCTGTAGAAAGTCCAGACTTTGTAGCCATCTATGCAGGCAAGCAAAAACTACCATCAGTCTGCTTTTGGGGTATTTAGGAAGTTGCAGAATTCAGCCTAGGGATGCATAATCACAATATTTAATTACAGTTTCAGTACTGATCTACATACATCAGCACATGATAAACTAAAAATCATAGTGCTTCTGATTTGGTATAATCCAACAGACCTCCAGATTTTCTTTCAGAGCATGTAAAGGTACAGCCCTCTGGGCATCACACCACATCAAAACCACCAAATGACTCGATTGAGCATCTAAGCATCCAAACTGCTGCAAATGCATACATACAATAACGGAAGAAACGTAGATGTTTTCCACCTTCATACTCATGCAGGCAAATGCTCCTGAGGTAGAAGCCACAGTATGAACCAGCCTATGGAGTGGGTAACAAAGACAGTGATCCCCTTGCACACCTGAAGACCAGAAAAGCATTTGCCAAAATAAAACGAGAGCCAAGCTCTTTTCTTTTTCTTTCTTTTTTTTTTTTTTTTTTTTTTTTTTTTTTCCAACAGTAACATGTACCAAGTAAGGCAAAAAAGATCAGTTTTCCAGCACCATTCATAAACTTATATGCCCTGGAAGCTACTTCAAAGTACCTTATGCAATGAAACTGTCGGGAAAGCTCAGCTTAAAGCAGTTGAACTCAATTACTGATCAATTTACAGGTACAGAAAATAAATGCATGCAGCCTTTCAACAATGACTTACCATTGTTATGTTATTTCCATTTAGCAAAGTCTGGTCTAGCTTTGTGATTCTTCTGCCCTCAGGTGTAATCTCACTGAAACAGCATTAGAAAAAGTAAGTAAGAACACAGGGACAATAATTCCAGTTTTGATTACAGAACAGACATAAATCTCTGCGTTAAGATGACAGTTGTTGGAACTAACAAGCAAATTAGCCACACTGCAGTGTAATCCTGATAAACTGACCCCCTGGGCAAGGAAAGCTACCTGTCAACTAAAAAGATCCATTGTACTTTTCTGCTCAGTACATAAAGACAGAGTCACCTTGGCAATTCCCTGAATACCTCCCATACTCAAAACAGGTTTCAAACAGCAACATGGCATGACAAAGTAATAAATACTTGTCCTTAATTCTGCTAACTTTTAAAATCTTTGCCCAGACCTCAAGGAAATGTAAAAGCAAACGAACTACTGGAAAGTTCAAACACACAACCCATGCAAAATTAAGGATACAAATTAGGAACCTTATTACACGTATAAGTAATGCAGCAGCGACTCTACGGCATGGCTGTCCGGAATGGGTCACCCTCCACAGTTCGAGTCCAAGGTATAAGCTATTCAGCTGGCAAGCATTCCAAAAATATAAAACCACTTTGCTTATAGAGCTTACACAGTGTTTTTCCCCAGGACGCCAAAGGTTAAGTAGCAAGACGCAGAAATAACACTCGGAATTCTGTAACGTCTTCTAACACCGTATCGGAAAACCCAGTTTCAAGGAAAGTAAGGCGCAGAAATTTAAAATCAAAATATTGCAGATTATTTTCATTTTATACTGAACTGCGATTTTATTTATAAAATGAAAACATCAGAATAATGCAACTGATGCTTACAAAAAGGTTCAGTGAACTCAAACCACTCAAAAGCAATACAGGAACTGAGCCTAAGCAGAAAGCGGACGGCCTTCAACATTTCCACCAAAGGATGCTGACAAAGTCACCAAACCCCGCTAGTGTCCCAACAACGTATCGCTCTTCCTCACGCTAGGAATGCGTGAACTCACGCAGCCGTCCACAAGTTCTGTAAATAAAAAAACAAAACGAAAAAAAATATTGAAAGGTGCAAGGGATTGTTTCATAGAACGTACATTTTTCGAACAAAACCCCTGATATTAAGGGGAAAAAAAAAAAAAAAAAAAAAAAAGGAGTAGCCGCGGGCCCGCGCGCCTCAGCCCAGTGGCGAAGCTGGAGCGCGGAAGCGCCCCGGCGTGAGCAGCCGCCATCTTAGGTCCAGGCCTGACTAATCGCTGCCGCCACCGCCTCCCGCAGTTCTGAAGGGCCGCCCGCGGGAGCCAGCCCAGCAAGCCCCGATGAGCGGATGGCAGAGCGGTCGCTCCTCTGCACCCCCGTTTTCCGATAAATGCCGGGACCACGCAGGAATCGCGACACTCGTGTTTCCTTTGGGTCGCGAGTGTTGCATGCACCCAGGTGGAGATTTAAAGAGGAAAAAAAAAAAACCACTTTTTTCCCCTCCGTCCCATCCAGACAGCGCCGTCGCCTTAGGCTGCCGCCAGTACAACCGGTACCCGGCGGCCCCGGGGTGTCAGCACACCCATCAAATAAGTCTTCTTCTCCTGTGGTGTGGGAGGCAGAGGCTGTTTAGGTTGTTTTATTTCCCCAGATTTTGCTCCTTAATTCACAAGGGGGCTGTTGCGAGAAGGATTTTTGGAAGCCCTTTTCCATATACACAATGGCCTCGGAGCACAAAACCCGCCGGCTGTTCCAACACGCTTTGCTTGCTTAATGCTACAGCCTCAAATAAAACTGGCATTTCCACTTCTGGAGTCATTGCGCATTTTGTGATGGGGCAGACCAGAGGGGGAACGGAGCCCTAGGAGAGCGGCGCTGCCCCCAGAAACACTGGGGCCTCTAATGGGGTTAGCACTCCGAATTTTCTGCTCTTGAAGGGAAACGGAGCCCTCGCCCTCGGCAGATGCTGGGGCCAGAGCAGGGAGATGTGACAGCTGAAACGCAAAGAGTAAGTTTATTTTCATTCCCTCGCCAACCCGGGGATCCCCCAAAGCAGCGCCTGGGCAGAGGCACAGATCCCTGACCCTGCTCTTCTCGCCGGACTATCAGGGGGGTTGTGCAGGCGGAATTTACGCTTTGGTCTTCCCCAGAGCAGGGCAGGAATCCCAGGCGTGTTCGATAGTCGTTTCTCCGGCTGCCGCAGGCCTACGTTACCTAAACACAGATGGCCTACTCGTCAAGCACGCAAGGCTAAACAGCAATCAGTATGATATATGTCCTTTTCTACACCCCAGCTGCAAGTCACTTGAGCATGTTGATCATCCTCCTCCTCAACAATCTTCTGTCATTATCCCACAATGACCAAAAGTGAATTTTATGTCTGGAGCTTTTAATTTATGTTAGTGAATGTTAAGTTGAATCCGGTTAACACAAAATTGTGTTTGTTTTCGTTCTTCTCCCTTCTGTTTCCTCCTCCTTTCTGTTCTCACATTAGCCAAGCTTCGGAGATTGTATTTCAGTGTTTCAGTGGGGAGAGCTACTCACTAGACTTTTTTTTTTTTTTTTTAACATTCCTTTGCATTTTTTGAAATGGTCCAAGATGTTTCAGTTGCTGAAGAGCTGAATGTGCTCTAGTTAAGGTAGATCTGAAACAGCAGTGGCCTTCCACACTCCTGGAATGAGCTCTTATGAAAGCAGGAGAGGGCCAACCAGTGTTCTCATGTGGAGTGTTCTTAGTCTTTACACAAATTGCCAAAAGAATCATGTATGTGATGGCCAAGATTTGATCTGACATGAACGTATTCCATACAAGATACCAGAAAGTTAAATTAATTTTTGTTAATGCTTCAGGAAACAAAACAAGCATGGTAACACAGAAAACAATTCCTCATACCAATTGAGGCTGAAGTGGAAGTGCAGTAACTCATTGGAGGTGGTATTCCATCTCTTTTTCTGAAATATCTGCATGGTTTTGTAATGTATCCTTTCCCCTCAGTGTGTCTAGGGACTGTTGGCATGTGGATGTTTGCAGGATCAGTTCCTATGAAGGAATTTGATCATCTAGGTTGCAAGGTTGGGATATTTATCAGTCACTTTCTTGTCAAAGACCAGGAGGAGGTGAGTGTTAGTTGAGTGTCTGTAGGAGGAAAAGCGTGATTTTGCCCTCAACTGGTTCAGGTTTTAGGGGGGAAGACCTCTGAACTGAAGTCTTTAAGTAACTTCTTTAAGAAGTTGGAGGGAAAGGTACTCGGGGAAGGGGACAGGGTATCTGCGTCACAGGGAGAAGAACTGACAGTTGCTCGAACGAAAGCCAGGCTTCCTTCATAGGAGAACTCTAACTAGAGCAGTGTTCAGCCTCATAAATACAGAAAGGACAGGAGGAGGGAGGTCAGGAGCCAGACAAAGAGATTTCTGGTTTTGAGTCATACGCTGATTATTTTCAAAAAAATCCTTTGTCTCCCATTTCAATGAAAATTATGATATTGAGTATGAACTGAAAGATGGGACGAGGAAGCAAGGACTGAGTTCAGTAGGCTGAATCAAAGAAGTCAGGGAACTTGTTGCAGAATTTAGAAAGGACTGACCCATGAAACTGAAGCTCTCTCTCAGAGGAGGAACTTTCAACAACTTCTACCTCTGAAGTTGCAGATTTGTTACTGAACTACAGAAGACATTTCCTAAAAGCCCTGGAAGCAGGCAGGTACGCAGCTACAGCCTAGTGGGTTTAACATCAGTACTATGCAAGGCTCTAGAGATTTTGTGAAGGGAAGGATTAATCAACAACATGAAGCAAAGTAGACTGAGTCCTACATGCATACACTAACGATAACTCATGCCTGACTGTCTGGCATTTTAGTGAGAGTAAATGACAGATACATTTTCTATATACATGAAATACTGTAGCTCGAATCTGCCAGGAATGTTTAATAGACAGTGCCACAAAAATAAATTTTTTTTTAAGGTGGAGATACTGGAGGATTAGTACAAGGTCTGGGATGTGGGTAAGAAACAGAATGCTGGCATGATTGAAATGGGATGCCTTACAAAGCCACTCAATGGGAATTAATAATATTATAGGCATGAGAATTAATACCAGGGGACCTCTGAAAGAGAAAAGAGTCTGTATATGATCAAGGATGAGTGACAAACGTGGTGTGATTTGGGGGAAAGCGGGCAAAAAATGGCATGCTACAGCATAATAGTATGTTTATTGATTGATGTTTTAAAAATTCTGATCCACCTTGCAGAAAAATGGATTCAGAATCTCTCACTTCCGTGATTGGAAGAGATAGGCCTTGGGCAGGCTGGTTTTGAGGTGGAGGAAGATAAGGACTTGGAAGAGCTTGGCTGGGCAGGCTAACAAAATCAGGCTTCCAAAAAGTAAGCCTTGTTTTGGTGGATTGGTTTTGAGCCAGTTCATTCATGGGTTCTGTTTGCCAGGCAGACATCTGCAGAAGACAGCTACATGGGCACTCAGAGAGACTAGCAAGGGGGTGGAAAAGAAGCTCTTGAAAGTGGCAGACTGGGACTTCTCCTTTTGCTTGCCCTGTTTGCTCATGGTGTTTGGAGTATTCATTGAACCACTGCACTACACGCAGTCTGACTTGGAGACTGTCAGAAAGGTGAAAAATAAGGAGAAAACACCAACCATTTAATCTAAAAGACTGTGTTGGCACAGGAACAAGTGGGTATGAGCCGTCTGTGGACATGCTGCAGATTGCATACGAGAAACCACTAGTTGCAGAAAAGCAAAGTTCTCAGAAAGTTCAGCTTTCAAATGGCAGTAATTCAGAGTGAATTTGGGGAGCTTCAGATCAACAGATCATACAGCTAGCCTGCCTGTCATAACAGGAATTTAACATGATTTTTATTCACCTGAAATGAAACTACTAAAACATTTAATTAGGAGTAAAAAAAAAAGTTTTTTTGATACGTGTTTGGTAGTGATAAGAGGAGTAGCCTAAGGAAAGGGGAACAGCAAACACAGCCCTTCATCATATGTAGTTGCTCATACTTTTGTCCATTTATGTAAAACACATGATTTTGATTTGGTAGGCATTTCTATGTGCTTCTCAGGTTCTACAGGACATAAGTGAATTGCACCTTATAAAGGAGACTTTTTCTTGCCTGAAACAAATTCTGGAATTGGGTTCACTGTGATCCCACAAGGAAAGTACTAACCATAATTCTTTCTTTTCTTCTTAGCCTTTTCTGACTTACAAGTCTCTAGCTGAATAGCAGCTAGATTTCTTGCGTGGGTTGGCTTGTTTGGTTTCTCTAGCACTTTGAGTTTAAACATATGTGGGGGAAAAATGAGGAAATTGCTAAAAAAATAAAAAAAAAAAAAAAAATGGAACAGAACACTAAAAACATTGATGCAATAAATGATAAAATCCAGAGCCAGGAACAGATTAGAAACAACTGAACTAAAAAAAGCTCCACAGGCATAACATCTCTAATTTTAGATTAAATTCCCCATTTGTCTTCTCAGGTTGTTTTCACTTTTCAGTTCCTTGTTACACAAGTATTTTTCGTATCTGTGGATAGACAGTTACCAGTTATGAGAACACAGAAGAACTTTAACACGGAGTTAAAAAAAAGTTAAGTCTGTGGATTTCTGTCTGAATAGTTTAATTTAAAACCTCTGTATGCCATAGCTTGGGTGTCTCAACATGATTTACAGAAAAAACATACAGAAAAAAGGGGGATTCAAAACATGTTATCACCATCTTCATACTGTGTCAGCCGTAATAGCTCTAGCCCACAAGAATCCTATTTTTTAGACCTTCCAAAAGAGGGTTTGCTGCTGACATGCACCTGGGGAAAAGTACTTTCAAGGTATTACACTGCGTACCTAACTGAGAATGCCCTTCTCTGATGAAAAAATGTGCTCTAAATCGCCCAAGAAATTTGAGTGTGAACAGCGAGAAAGGAGGGGAAACAATCTGAGCATGAGAGAAATTCTTCAGCTCACTCGTGAAAGCATTTGTGCGTAAATTGAGGCTGCCACAGAAATGGAACAACTTGCAGGCAAGAGAATTACAGGCACAAGTCCCTGTAAGCCCCTGGCCGGTTGCTGAGGAGGCAGGTGCTCCCTTTACTACCGCAATGCCTGACCTGTCACGAGAATCCACGTCTTCTCTTGATGCTACAAGGTTTTGGAGCTATTAGGTCTGAGTAAACTCAGGCCCTGTGTCACCATCCATCAGGCCATACATAATCTTACTTCACTTGGGGCAAGGCCCAGCTTTTCTGCACTTGGCATCCTGAGCAGTTCTGCAGATCGCCTCTGACTTTGTGCAGGGGGTGACCATTGTCTCACATGTCTTCTCAAGGGCTCGACTATCTTCCAAACTGCCCTTGGCTTAAATAGAGGCATTTCCGACTGTGTTGTAGAAAAGAAAAAATTGTGGGTAGTGGGGAAGGTGCTGTGTGTGTCATGGACTGCTCACACTCCTGGTCACTTTTGTTTGTCCCAGCCAAAACCAGCACAGTGCCCCATCCCTGGAAACATTTAAGGTGGAGAGACAGCTCTTTCTTTGGAGAAGCAGAAGGCTTGTGTTCTGACAGGAAGACATTTTGGCAAAACTGGCCAATAAACAATTAAAACCCAATAAAACCCAATTAAAAATAATTAAAACCCAGTAAAAACGCTATTAAAAAAAACAATTTTAAACCCCCAAAAATGCTCTCCTCTCTTCTTTGGCACTTTTGAGACAGCATGCAGACTCCTGCACCCCATTCTGGTCTCCTTGGGGCAGGAAAGATGCTGACATACGCGGTGGGGGCCCAGCCTGGTGCCTCGGGGCTGGCGAGGGGCCGGGGCACGTGGGACACACGGACAGGCAGAGGGAATGGCTGCGGTGCAGCTGGGAGGGGAGAAGGCTCAGCCCTGCTCTGGATGCTGATCCTAGATGCCAGAACGCTGGAATTGTTTTCCTCACCCAATACCCTGTAGAAAATCATCCTGTTTCTCTCCCACACGCATGTCACTATTGCTAGTTTGGCGATTCAGAACAGCAAAGGCCTCGTAGAAAAAAAAAATATAAAATAAAATACTGATAGTTGATGCTGAACCTGGGCAGAACAGGAAAAACTCCTCTCCTTCCTCTCACACAGAAGAAGAGCGAGTTTTCCCATGGAAGCTGCTAACAGAGTGTCTATATCTGCTAACTGCAACTCGACTGCTGTGCCCCCTGGTCCCAGGTGGCTCAGTGAGGCCTTATATTATTTCCCTGAGTGGGGTCTGAAGGCTGGAAGGGGTACAGCTGGCAGCACCGTGTTGGCCCACAGACCCGGCGAGTGATGGTCCCCGAAGGGAACAGCGAGGGCCTGCTGTGGTGCTGCAATTCTGCCCCCCTTGCCTCTACTTGCTGGGTTGCTTGGTGCGATATCAACCCTCCCCTCCTCCTGAGCCACATACCATCGGGGGGGGGGGGGTAAGGACTGCTAATGGCACGGAACCAGAGCGTTAAGGCACCCCTTTGACGAGCCTGGCTCCTGCTCTCCCTATAACAGCCTCCTCGCAGCCCACTACACCCGCACCTGGGATGTGGTCGAAGGAAAACAGTAACAGAATTGCACATCCATCGAGCTCTTGTGCATGTGGTGAAAAACACCAGAGCACTTCATTATTTGAGCTGGGCCAGAGTAAAAAATATCTGACAAAGGTCAATTATCTTGGACCCTATAAAGAGCAACCCAAGTGAGACCCTTTGAGCTCTCCTGGATCGCAGCGGGCCTGTGACCAGCATCTCCCCCCACCTGCGCCCACCATTCCCCAGGGAGGTGGAAGATGCATCTCCCAGCCTGCTGGCCAGCACCAGAGGCACAGACGCTGCTGACCGCCACGCTGGCGTGACAAAAAGGGGGTGGCTGGTGGCTCTACAGCCATTGCCAGGTTGCGGCTGACGGCCACGTCCTGAGCATGGAGGCTTCGGAAGGAGGATGACCAAGTCCAGGGTGAGAGAGGAAGTGGGGGAAAAGCCCAAAGCGGAAAGAGGAAAAAGGGTGTCCAGGGAAAAAGAGGAAGGGGGAAAAAGCCCAAAGCGGAAAGAGGAAAAAGGGTGTCCAGGGTGAGAGAGGAAGGAGGGGAAAGCCCAGAGTGGAAAGAGGAAAAAAGGATGTCCAGGGAAAAAGAGGAAGGGGGAAAAAGCCCAAAGCGGAAAGAGGAAAAAGGGTGTCCAGGGTGAGAGAGGAAGGAGGGGAAAGCCCAGAGTGGAAGGAGGAAAAAAGGATGTCCAGGGAAAAAGAGGAAGGGGGAAAAAGCCCAAAGCGGAAAGAGGAAAAAGGGTGTCCAGGGTGAGAGAGGAAGGAGGGGAAAGCCCAGAGTGGAAAGAGGAAAAAAGGATGTCCAGGGAAAAAGAGGAAGGGGGAAAAAGCCCAAAGCGGAAAGAGGAAAAAGGGTGTCCAGGGTGAGAGAGGAAGGAGGGGAAAGCCCAGAGTGGAAAGAGGAAAAAAGGATGTCCAGGGAAAAAGAGGAAGGGGGAAAAAGCCCAAAGCGGAAAGAGGAAAAAGGGTGTCCAGGGTGAGAGAGGAAGGAGGGGAAAGCCCAGAGTGGAAAGAGGAAAGAAGGATGTCCAGGGAAAAAGAGGAAGGGGGAAAAAGCCCAAAGCGGAAAGAGGAAAAAGGGTGTCCAGGGTGAGAGAGGAAGGAGGGGAAAGCCCAGAGTGGAAAGAGGAAAAAAGGATGTCCAGGGAAAAAGAGGAAGGGGGAAAAAGCCCAAAGCGGAAAGAGGAAAAAGGGTGTCCAGGGTGAGAGAGGAAGGAGGGGAAAGCCCAGAGTGGAAAGAGGAAAAAAGGATGTCCAGGGAAAAAGAGGAAGGGGGAAAAAGCCCAAAGCGGAAAAAAGGGTGACCCCAGGGGCGTCTCCCACCCCGGCAGGTCCCGGGGCCTGCCCCGTTTAGCTTCCCCCAGGGGACCCCTGAAGCGCAGTCTAGCCGCACGCTGCCCTCCCCTCCCCAACTTTCCCTCCCGGCCGCGCACCCCCGCCCCGGGGCGGAGCCGTCCCCGCCGCCTCCCCCCGGTCCCTCCGCCGCCCCCCCCGTCCTCGCCGGCTCTCCCCTTCTCCCCGCGGCTGTGGCCGGCCGAGGCGGCCGAGGCGGCGGGGATGTGGCTGGGTCTGGCGGCGCTGCTGGCGGCGGCGGGGGCGCAGTACGAGCGGTACAGCTTCCGCAGCTTCCCGCGGGACGAGCTGATGCCGCTGGAGTCGGCCTACCGCTACGGCCTGGACCAGTACAGCACCGAGAACTGGCCCGAGAGCGTCAGCTACCTGGAGGTCAGCATGCGGCTCTACCGCCTGCTGCGGGACAGCGAGGCCTTCTGCCACCGCAACTGCAGCGCGGCCGGGCAGCCCCCCGCCGCCGCTACCCCTTCGCCCCCCGCCGCCTCGGGGGCGCTGGCCGAGCTGCGGCTCCTGGCCGGGGTGCTGCGGCGGGCCCAGTGCCTGCGGCGCTGCAAGCAGGGCCTGCCCGCCTTCCGCCAGGCCCAGCCGGGCCGCCAGCTGCTGGAGGACTTCCAGCGCCGCGAACCCTACAAGTACCTGCAGTTCGCCTACTTCAAGGTGAGCCCCGGTCCCGGGGAAGCCTCCCCGGAGTGCCGACCTCTCGCCTGGGCCCCCCCCGAGCAGGTTGCGCTGGGCCGTCGCCTCTTTCCCCATCACCGGTTTAGCCGCCGGTTGTTGGCCGCTTCACCTCCATACGGGCCTCGGTCTCAGCCCTCCCGCGCTGCCAGCCCTGCACATCATCATCATCATCATCTCCCCGGCAAGTCTTTCGGCCCCTTCCTCCCACCCACCTCACGTAACCCACAGCGGGACCACCGTGTGCCTTGTCTTTCCCCCTGCTTGCCCACATAGTACCACCGTCCAGCTTGCTCTTCACCAGTTTTTCTGAAACTCATCCAGCACATCCCTTAGATCAGCCCCTCCCAATCCTTCCCAGACCCCCAGCCACTGGACCCAGCCTTCTCATCCTGTAGCTGTGCCTTTCCTACCCCTGCCCCCCTCATCTTGCCATTCGCCTTACTTTCTTCTAACCTTCTCTGAAACCTTTTTCAGAACCTGCATGTCACCGCTCTGCTATCACAAGCGTTCTTTGCTGCTTCCTCTCCCTCGGCGTCTCCATCTTCCTCGCTTGCTCTCTTCTGGTCCAGGTCTTTCAGGTGCAGCAGCCCCCAGCCTGGGACTCGCAGATAGCCTGATGCCTGCAAAACACCAGCTTTGTTACAGCCACGGGATGGAATAAAGCAAAAATTGGCTGCTGAAGCGTGCCACTCATGCTGGCTCTGGAATGGTATTTACTTTTTGCTCTTGGGTCAGCCAGGACTAGGGACACACACCTCTTAACAGATTTCATCGCATTTTTCTAGCCTCTTGTCATCCTTCTGTCTAGGATCTAACCAACAATTTTCTCCCTCCTTCTCACCTTCATCTTCTTTTCTCTAAACCAAGGTCCATCCTTCATGCCATCCCCTCAGATACTGCAACTACTTGCATTTCAAATAAACGGGACATCAGTGGGGGGAGAAAACAAGCTGAGTTCTTTGGATAGATTGTTTTCCCTTATAGGGATTCACTCCCAGCATATCCCAGTATACATTATATAGGGTTGTATGCTTGTGCATTGTTTTTGAGGTTGCTGCTTGAAAATGGACATCTTAACTGTTGCTGTGTCTTATTTGTGGGAGTGCTGTTTTCTCATGAAAATAGTCAATGGTTTTCCCAAATTACACAAACAGATGCAGGGAAATGTGTTCTCATAAAACAGGAACAGTATCCACATGCACAGCATCAAACCAGCATAATGGTGTGCATTTAAAGCCATCCCTAAGACTGTACAGAAGAACTTAAGGTATCAAACAGAGGATATCTCTTTTGAATAACAGACTGGGCAGGCACTCTTTGCATTCTCAAAGCCATATAGGGATACCAAAATTACATCACAACAAATGTTTCCATTTCATGTCTTACTTTAACTACTTATTCCCCCCTCATGATATGTATGAAATTTGCAGTGTATGGAAATGTACTGTTTCTGATACAGCTGGCAGGTATGAATGGGAGAGGGAAATTGGAGAAACCCCTCCCTCTCTCTTTAAACCGTTTTTCAATCACATTTGCAGTAGGTTTGGGCAGTGCCGCTTGGTGTTTTTGCCTTTAGCAGCAGTTGTCTATATTGTTCTTCTTATTAGATTGTGGGGCAGCTCTGAGCTCTTACCACTCACTTGGGGAGTTCTGAATGGGCCTTATGGAGCTACAAACTGCTACAGACTGCTCCATACAAAGGACTTATTCCTGGTTGGTGGTTTTCCGAAGAAAGGAATGTTACTTTCCCCCTCGCCCCCCAACAGCATTTATAATATAGGAAGAAGGCAGAGGGAATTGCTTTATGTAATTTTTTAGAGTGCGCATGTGTTTATTCAGGTGGGTTCCACAGTAAAATCTTGCCACGTCTTAGATCCTGGGAGTAGATGTTTCTGTGTTGCTGCTTGCTCCTCTGGAGGGAGCTTTCTCCTAGCCACTGAATTCACTTAGGAATGTGTTTCTACAAAACTTTTTTTTTTTTTTTTTTTTTTTAGTGGTGAAAACGGAAACCCAGAGTGAATTATGCACTAAGCAAAAATGCCTCTCAGGCTACCAACAAACAGGGTTAAAGCATAAAGCACAAAAGAAACCAACCAGGGATTTGACGAAAGTGCAGCTGAGATTTCCCTGTGCATTTAGCACCGTGTGGGCTGACTGGAAGTGCATAGTTTTGGGACAGAGGAAGGGCAGCTGTCAGAGTTCCTGTGCTGGGACACTTCTAGCAGCACACAGCAGCAAGAGCTCATGTTGGGGTCGAAGTCTTTGATGTAGTTGTCTCTCAGATTTCTTTCTGAAGTAAAAGGGTACCTTTAATGGTTGCAGACAGAAGAGTGCACATGCATATGTGCTTGTGATTCTTGCTCATCTTTTTATACGTGCACTTCCATAAGCTATTTCAGCTGTGAGGTGGAACTCTGTATTGCCTACACATCAGTATGCTGAAGGGGGTTGATACGGATCTTGGCTTACAAGGGAAAAGGTTTTAACGTATCACAAATACTTAAGACTCTTCCTTAATATGTGTATATATACTATATAGTTTATAAAAACATGTATCTATATAAAAAAATATAAATGCATACACACAGGAGCACCTATGTATTTGGCACATGCAGTTGCAAACGAGGAATACATACTTCACAAAGTATCTCTAATGGGGTTTAAAGTTGGTTTAAAAATGGGTACAGAAAATCACACAGTACATTAGGGCACAGTTATTGAGCAAGTCCCTGCTGTTTGCTCTGACTTTGCAACACCATCCAGAAGATATATTATTGTAATATTGTATTCTGTGCTGCTAGGCAAATAAGCAACATAAACACCATGTAAACACAGTAAGTGATGACTCCTGCCCAGTAGCCGTAGGTGAGCATCAGTAATTTCTGTGAGATTAGTCCCACGCAGGAGCAACAGTATAATCATGTGCCTTGTCAGCTTTATGAACAGGGTAGGGGAGAGGGGAAAAATGTCTTCTTTTTGACTTACACTCATCATCTCTGCTATCTGCAACAATAATAGACTTTTAAAATGTAAAAACACTGTTCATAGTGATGCAGCTAGGAATAAAACTGAGAATTATGTCAGTTTTACTGTACCGTTTTATGTACTGACTGTGATTTCAGTAGAAGTAAGTCTGTGAATATAGAGGCTGCAGGAAAGTCCACTGACAAGAACTGGGAAACTTTGAACTTTGTTTTTCCAATTAATCTATTTTCCCCCCTTCCTACTCTCCCCATCCCTGTTTAGGCTAATAATCTTCCAAAAGCTATTGCAGCAGCTCACACATTTCTTCTGAAGCATCCAGATGATGAAATGATGCAAAGGAATATGGCCTACTATAAGAGCATACCTGATGCGGAGGAGCATATTAAAGACTTGGAGACAAAGCCTTATGAGGTATGCTTTTTATTCAGAGTCTGGTCTTCTGGAACTGCTCTGTTGCTCCTCTTACTGCGTGAGATTCAAGGGTCTCATTTGCTTACGTGCTCTCAGTTCTTACTCTCCCTCTTGCTGTCTTCCTCCATCATCTCTGTTCTGCCTTCTTGATGCATTCAGTAATTCTCACCTTTCATACAGATCACTGTTCCATAAATGAGTCGTGGTAGATCGTAGACGGTGGAATACCCAAAAGCTGCTACATGCAGATCACTACTGGAGCTGAGCAAGTGCACAGAGTTACTCAAATGCACAAGTGCTGTAGTGGCACAGCTTGAAACAACTCTGACATTGTTTTTTAACATTTGCTGTTAAGATTCCATTGAAAATCTCTGTCGATACCCGTGCTTTAGACTCACACTGTTATTTCAGTCCAGCAGGTTTTTCTGTTGATCTGAAATGGCTTTATCTACTCTGCTTTCTAGGAAATACCTGGTAATATCCATTAGTCATCCACATTCATTGAATAACAGCTTATATAGTAGTCTAGAAATGCAGAGACATCATTTACTGTATTTGAATTTACACGCAGCTTTCCATAGATCAGCTACTGCTGGTTTTCATTCCTGCCAATTTTTCAGAATCTCTTTGTCAGGGCTGTGAGAGCATACAACGGTGACAATTGGAGAACGTCCATCTCAGACATGGAACTGGCTCTTCCTGATTTCTTCAAAGCCTACGATGACTGTACAGCAGCCTGTGAAGGCTCCCGAGAGATCAAAGATTTTAAAGACTTCTACCTCTCCATTGCAGGTGAGTCGTTAGGAAACAGTAAGAGAAGATGTCCAAAAAGTGCATTTCAGTTTATCCGTGGGATTGGCTACCTAAGTCCTGTTCCTCAGCTTGCAGTGTCAAATGCACATGGTGCCCCTTGCTCAGTATGGGCCAATACAAGTTTATTAGGTTCACTGGAAACTGTTTGAATTCTGGTTTACTTTTTTTCCCTTTTCAGTAACATAAACAAGGGCTGTCACAAAATCAGAACAGAGAGTTCTTACATTAACATTCTTGTGTCAGAATAAAATAGATGTGTAAGTAATAACAACTACTCCATCCAGCTAGCAATAGTTATGCAGACGGCTCTCTTGACCACCCCTTCAATATCAGTTTGGCCACCTTTGAGGCTCAGTGGTTAGCCTGCTTTCAAAATCTGCCATGTGCTTTGTGTCTCACTGGTCATACATATATCCTTTCTCATTAATATGACAAGTTTCTGTTGCCTGTTTTTCATCTTTCCTATAGCAGAGTTTTGCCATCAGATAAAGTTTCTTTTTCTTTAGTGTGTAGCTTAAAAAAAAATCCATTGTTTTTCAAAGAAAAAGAGGTACCATCTTTTTGATTAACGTCAAAATGGCGCATACGCGTTTCCTATGCTCTTTGGTAGCAAATGAAACAATTTCTCCAGTTCTCTGGTCTCAGTGTTGTTGACAATATTTGTGTAGAGAATGCCTCCATGTTTTCGCAACAAACCTAAAGACATAAGAAAATGCAACAGAATTTCTAAGTCACCAGAAGGAAAACCAGCACAACTTTTTGTCCTAAAGCCATCAGATGTGTTGGTGAAGGGAAACTTTTGTGAAATATGTTGACACATGAGTAGCTCCACAGTTTCTCACAGCATGGAACTGGTATCCACCGGTACGGCTGACATGGAATAGCTATTGCAGGCTATCCCTCAAGCCATGCAGGCAGAGCGGGCAGGTGCCTAGGATGGCAGATAAGGAGTAAAGGTCAAATCACGGGTGATAAAGCAAAAAACACAGGTTTTCTTCCCCAGCGGCTCAGAGCCCTGACGTCAGGATAACCCCCAAGCCACTCTAAAGAGTACAGTGTCCATGTGCAGCTGTAATTGGCACTTGCTGTCATCCTTCCTCTTCCTCCTTGGAAGGAAAGGACAATTCCCAGCACTAGTGGTGTCATCACCATCACCACAATGATATCATCATGTCCATGTGCATGCATTTCAAGTATTTTGTTCTTGAGATAGGAAAACTCAAATTTACTTACACTGCCTGGGCTGAACTCTGCTCTTGCTCCAAGGAGATATATCCTGCCTCCGTGGTTTTGACTGCAGAAAGTAGATGCAGCAAAAAATGTTAACCAGAAGTATTTGGTGTTTGCACTAGGTACGTATTTATCCCTGAGCAATGAGTTATGCTTGGAAGGCAGCTGTCCTCATTGCATGGGATCACTTCACTGAGGAACTTGAGTCTCTGGCTTTCAGTGCTGGCTGGAATTGAACACTACTGTGTCTGGAGACTCCACTGCTCTTGTAAAAGATGAGTCTGGTAATTTCATTTGGCCAATTATTTTTAGTTAGCTTCAGCATTCTTCATGTTAGGAGTTGTCAGAGATGAAAACAGGGGAAGTGGCTTTTGCTCTTCTTTTGCCTTGCTCAGAGCCTTGCTGCATAAGCTTGGATGACTTGCTTTCACCTGCCAAATGTGGCTAACAGGGAAACTAAGGCTTTAAAAGATTTCTGTTCGGTGTTGGTGCCTAATGTTATATATCCTGAAAACATTTGAAATTCTTTGATGGAAGGTTTTCCTGGAATACATTTCCTTGAAGGTAAGACCACCTTCAGTCCTATCCCATTGTAGCAAGCTTTTGTAGACCAGGTAAGCTTGTGAACTTAAACGTTTCTGGCTGAAGGGTGTTCTGTATTGAGCAGCATATTCATGTCTTTCTTCTCTTTTAGAACATCCAAACTGCAAGCACAAAATACGGCCATCTCTGGAGTTTTATTTTGCAATCACCTGCTGTATTTCTCTGTGACATAGTTGTACTCAGCAGCATGTGGACTTATTCTTGCAATAATTTAATGAAATTGCAAAGGCTCTCAATATTAAAAAAAAAAAAACAAAAAACAAAAAAACCCCACTGTTCAGTTCACATGAAATAATGCAATACTCTGCAACACTCTGTATAAGACCTACCACTACAAACTGCCTGTAGGTGTCAGTGAAAGCTAAGTGCTTAGTTCTCTGGTATTGCAGCTTGGATACCTTTCAAGTGCAGACTGCACTGATTTTTACAGAAGGGCTGAGTTCCAGTACTTGATACTTACTTTGGATGGAGTTGTAGATGCTCAGTACTTCCCAGCAGCAAGATCCAGATGCACAGGACCCCAGGGAGCATTATAAGGCCAGATTTTAATGGGTAGCTAATGGGAGGGGTTACAACAATTCACTGTGCACTATCCATATCCTGCATTTTTGTTTTCTTCCTTGTAGATCATTATATTGAAGTCCTTGCATGCAAAGTGCAGTGCGAGAGTAACCTGACACCCATTATAGGAGGCTTTGTTGTTGAGAAATTTGTGGCCACCATGTACCATTACTTGCAGTTTGCTTATTATAAATGTAAGTAGTGATTTAATGTGCTTAAGTGACATTGGGATGATGAGAGACAGTTTCCATTCATAATCTTTTCTCTGTAGTTAAAATGCTTTAGAATGCAAATAGTTGCCTCCAGAATCTGCACTTTAACCTGTTCTGGTATAGAAAGTCTGAGCTGCCTGGCATCCTTTTCTCCCTAGATAACCATAGTTAATGGACATGGGAGGTAAACTTTATGTATAGAGTCTGCGCTTATAAAATTGTCCATGACAAAATAAATTGCTGTACATAAGTCCCATAAGGGCTGGATTTTGTCCAGGGCAGGCACCTCTGTTCTAAGTTATGTGTGATTGTGACTGGTCTCCTTGGGTGGTGGAAGAATGAGGCAGTTACAGAGTAAGTGTGATCTGATCCATCACTGCCCTTCATTCTTTATAGGATACCTACTCTGAGCACAAGTTGCTTAGACTTCTCAAAGTTTCATAGAAATCATAAATGTTCATAGAAGTGATAAATGTTCATCATAGTATTTTCAATATTTAAATGATACACCAATTCTTCTGCCTTTTGAAGTAACTCATAACATGTTAAAGTGTCAGCCAATTCCTATACACTGGAAAATGTGCAATAGCACAGACCCTTTTTGTACACCTGTGTACAAAAAACCCATGGTTTGTGCCAAAAAGCCATGGTGGTCAAGCTGCTAGGCCCACATGGTTGTTAAGCAGATGTATGTATAGCTCTAACAAAAAATTTTTTCTTAAATTTCTAACTCGTCCAGTTAGAAAGAAGAAGGATTATGACTTCAGGGCAACAGATTTAACCTAACACCGCTATTGAACAAATACTCAATCTTCAATTTACTATTCAGAATTTCTCCCATAGACAAACCTACAGAGTATTTCATACCTTTAGATTTTTCCCGTAACATTTGGTTATGATTTTCATAGAAAATCATCAGAGGTAAGTCTCCACTTTTGAACCATGGCCTTATGGGTTTCGGAACACAAAAATAGCATAGCCTTTCTGGGAAGCAATTTTTTTGTTTTCTATGCAGCTGTTGGTGTGGTAGAAAATGAGTTCTGTTTCCATCTTGAGTTTCTCAGAGGCTAGATGATAATAGGAATTTGTTCATTTACCTCATCTGGAGATTATTTTTTTTTGTGTGTTTATTAATTAGTGAATGACATGAAGAATGCAGCTTCCTGTGCTGCTAGTTACCTTCTGTTTGACCAGAAAGATGAAGTAATGAAACAGAACATGGTCTATTATCAGTACCACAAAGACAAATGGGGACTTAAAGAAGAGGATTTTCAGCCCAGATCGGTAGGTGAATTACTTAAAATGCCTTCTAGATACATTCAGATATTTCCCTGAAACTCGGTGGGTCAGAGGTTGGGAAAATGTGGGTTATCTATTGGTTCTGGAGTTAAACACATACTGTTTTATTGAAACCATGTAGAAGGTTGTGCACAGAGATGTATTGTGTAGTGTAGACAGTGAATGTCATTATAGTTCTTTGTGTTGAAATATACAATAGGATACATTATGATATGGTGACAAGTAAATTCATGTTGGTACTTGTCTACCACTTATGCATATTTATATCTTTATCTACCTCAATAAATAAAGCAGCTGGCCCCTGAAATCTTTTGATGAAAAGATCACTCCATTGGCATTCAGGCTTTTGTCAATAACTTATTATTTGCCAACACGTAGTTGCCCACCTGCTTGTTATTTCAGGTTCTGTGGGCATTGGAATGTGCCTGGATATGATAACCCCAGCTGAAGTCACTTTCCACTTACTCCATGTAGTTGGGTGGATGGGGTCAGGAAAGGCTCAGGACCATATTGCATCTAAGTATCTCAGAATACTTGCTGCAGAGAACCCACAGTGAACATCAGTCCATCCAGCAATGGTTATGATCTGGCTTAGAAAAATTACTCTAAAAATGGGGTTTTATGCTGTTCTTAAATTTCCATGCCCAAGGAAATTTTACATATAAAAGCATTTTTGCTGTGTTTCTGGACGACTGCAGCCTGGACTCTGACAGTCAAATTGGATTTTCTGTCATTTCTTGTTACCAGGATCTGTGTCATGCAACTGAATTAACTGCTTTGTGACACTTGAGTGACTCCTCAGGCATCAGTGGTACGTGCTGTACAAGTAGTTAGTCATTAGCAATATATGTTCCACAAATTAAATTCAGTACCTTCTCTTTCTCTTAGGGCATAACTTCCCTTGTGGAAGACTCAATTATGTAAGCCGAGCCGAAGCAACAGCGAGCATCCCGCAGGCTAACATTCCCGTTGCCCTTTCTGTGTTGCTTCTTTAGACACCTCAGTCACCACGACCTGTACTGCCCCAAACACCCTTGGTCCCTAACGCTGCGCTGAACTCGGTACATCTGGCAGTGTTTTAGGTGGCCGACTTTATCTGTAGCAGCACTGCAGAGCAGTTCCTGTATGCACCTTAGAGGTTGCACTGAGTTGATAATTACACTTTTCCTTCCTCTCAGGCCAGCCAGCTCAAGGCAAAACACCCGTGCATTTGAGCTAAGTGTTTTATATTTGTGGACAGCTGTTGAGTTACCTGCCACACGCCTTATCCGCACACTGGAAGTGTGGGCCTGCCCTGCAGGGCCAGCTGAGACAAAAGACAGCGAAAATGCGTTTGGTTCTTTCAGGCAGTGAGCCCGAGCTCACGGGGGAAAGGGGCCACTCCTTTGCCACTGCTTTTGGGAACAGAACTGTGCTTTTTAGTCATACTGGAGACGATGTTTGGTGGTGGTGGGAGTGAGGGGTAGCAACAGTATAAAACTGCAAACTGCAGGCAGATTTGGCATACATGTGCAGAGAGGACAGAACAAGGGCCCTACACATGAACTCTGAATGTTTCATTGCTAACTTCTCAGGAGCTGGGGACTACAGATAATTTGATTTTAAAATATAAAATATTAAATACATACAGCTGTATTTTCTTGTGCTTTGAACCATGTAACTGAACAGAAGTTGCTTGCTGTCCTAATCCCTTGCTATGAAAACCGTCATGCCTCTTGTTTATCTTCACAAAGTAGTAACGGGGTGACAGCAGCGTTTGGCCCTGGCACTGAGCTTTAGACGTTTCTTGTGAAAGAGGAAGTCTCCTGTTTTCCTCCCCCAAAAGAGTTAAACAGAATAATCAAAGTAGATTGCTGTTGGTATTCACAAATAGGAGAGTAGGTGACTGAACTAAACTGTGCTCTCCCGGCAAGCAGCCAGGGAAGCGAGGAGGGAGAGGTGGGTGACCGTGCAGAATTTCCCTAGCCCAGACTCAGGCTGGGGTGGTGAGTCACTATGAGGCAAAACAGCTCAGTGTCTCTGTTTCCCAGAACTGTCTGCCGCCACACACCAGCGCACGGGGAAACAGAGGCTTTCTCACGTCCAGAGCCCGCTGGAATGCAGGCACAGGCTGCTGCTCAGCTCTGGCAGTCTCGGTCCTGATTCTCACACTCGCCAATGCTTTGAAACATGAGAAAGAGGAGAGTGCTTTGTTCTCCTCACACCGACGGAGCCTGTGCTTAGAAAGATCCACAGAAGGCATTGGATACGCTGCTTGCTGTTCTGCCGTTTCCTTTCTCCAACATTATAACTCCCGCTGGGATCTACCTTCGACTAAGTCTGGGTCTGACTTCACTGGAATCGTTTCAGATGACATGTGATGACAATCCCCTGTCTTGCCACCCTAAAGTAACACAGAAATTTTTTTTCTTTTTTTTTGATAGGAGGCAGTTCGATACCACAACATAACCATGCTCCAGTTGGAAATGTATGAATTCGCAAAGGAACATCTGATGGATGATGATGAGGTGAGTTTTGTAGAAAGGAAATCGTGGTCAAAAAAACAGCAGTCGCATTGAAGTGAAGATGATACGTAGATGGAAATACAGGATTAGGCTAGTGTGGAAAAATCTTCTTGTAACCGTGACCAATTTATTATAATTTTTTCATTTATAAATGGAATATAAAAAACAAACCCAAAGAACATCATGTACCATTGAAAAAAATAGGGACAGTATTAACACAAATGTAAATATAATGCACTGAGCCAAGAAAAAAAGAAAATCTACATTGCAAGCTATAACACCAGGGGGCAGAGAAGTAGTATATATATTTAAACCCAATGTTTTTCTGTTGTTTTTTTTTTTTTTTTTTTTTTTTTCTGAAATGTTGTTTAAATTAAAGATCCTTATAATTTTGTCCAGAAGTAACCACCTAAATTATAATTTTTGTGAAAAGGAAGTCTGGTTATCTGTTATTTTTTTCTTCACAGTAACATTTTGATCACCCAGTCTTGCTTCTTAAATGGTTAGAATTCATAGCCAAATAACATATAATGACTACTATTAGACTGGAAATATGTGAAGTGGATTTTTTGTGCAAGAAAAGTAGTTAAATTGTTGAAAGGGCATTTTTTTGTCTCCCACAGCTGAAATTAAAGTATAAATCATGGAGGCTTTGGATTGCCTTATGTTTTGCTTTGTTTTCAGAACCTTTCATTTAAAGGTTTAAAAAATGTTCAAATGATAGAATAGTTTGTGGCTGGCATTGGCAAAGAGCTATGTTCAGTTATGGCATGGGGCAGGGTACTTGTAATGAGCACTGCTGAGATCTTTTTTAGTTAGAAAAGAGAAAGATGGATTTTGTTAAGAAATGAAATCATCTTTGCAATTTTTATGTTATTCAGCACATAGGGAGAGATAATATTTTACAGTGGAGAAGTAATAACATGTCTGTGCTGCCTTCAGTGTGCTAGTGACCTGAAAACAGCTCTCAATGTAAAATTCCATTGCAAGGTCACCAGACTTTAGGAAGACTTTCCACTGTGATAAAACTTTGTGAAAGACAGTTTAATAAGCTTGTTATAAGGTTAAGCATAGATGAGGACTAGCCTGTATGGATTTTCATCAGGGTGTGAAATACTTGAGCACTTTTTTATATACCCTTGTTGGTTTGTGCTTTGCCCATAATGTTTTCTTATATTAGGCATAAATTTAATTTGTAATTTTTTCCTTTTTTCATACCTGCTGCTTCAAAACACAGGGATGAGCAATTAAGGAAGGGGAGAAGCAGTCTGTTGTGAGGGCTTTCCCCATATGTTGATGCAAAAAGGGATTATAGAAGCAATCTCAGTCTCAAGCACTGTGTATAGAATAAACAAGTGTTCATTTGCTGGCATTCATTCCTGTAGCCCATTTCACCATTGCAATGATAAATGACTTTGCAATCTGCAGGCAGGGAGTACAGTGGAAACATCAAACTTTTGGGGAAATGACAAGGAAGTGGCATTACACTGAATTACATATTTTGGTTAAACAACCAAAATTATTGGAGCTGGCTGTGCCACAGATATCCCTACCCCACACTCTCAGCATATGAGGAAAATTACCATTCTCCTCTCCTGGGGAGAAGCTGAAGGGCTTCTGTGCCCTCCCTCACTAGGGCTGAAGAACCTGGGAGGGATGGAGGCTGTCCATGCCTCTGGCTTGGCTCTGGCTTTTGGTAGTGAACTCATAAATCCCTGGCTACCAGAACTTGACTTTGGCTGTGGGAGCCTTCCAGGGAGTCCAGACAGAGCAGGAATAGCACAAAGGTAAAATTGCCACCTTGCAGTTTCTGCTAGATGGGCAGGACCTGGGAGGGTAAGTGGAATTTTTTTTTTTAATATTTCTTCTGGCACGGATGGAAAAAATTATTCCATAGGAATGCTGAAAACTGATGAAAACCCCAGATAAGGTGTTACAGTGAAAGCTTTATTAAAAATTTTTAAGGACAGAGGCAATCTCTCTTTTTAGTGCAGTCCATTTATTTAAACCATGTGCTTCTTGGGCCATAGGCCATACCTTTTGTGAGTTTCTGTGGTCCATGCTTGCTGTCTGTGAAGTTGCTTGTGGGCCAACAAGCTCATAAAATAATCTGCAGAAAAAAATCAGTTCTTTCCTTGAGTGAAGCAAAAGGATTGATGTGGCAAAATGATCTCTTTCTATGTGAATGTCATTATTCCCAAGTGGAGAATCTCACATTATTCAGATTTCTCAGTGCTCCCGTGTCCCAGATCATCCATGTGTCTTTTTAAATCCCATTAGCAAAGCGAGTGAGAACATGTGGCTTCTTCCAATAATACATTTCAGTAATTGCAGAGGCTGGAACGTGCAATAATGATTTTTGCATATGTCACTACAAGAAATACTGTCCTGTTCATGTTACATTATTAATGTTTTTCCACAAGGAAATGAAAAACTCTAGTTCAAACATTTAACACGGGAGAGGTGACAGAGAATATTAGTGCCAACTAGCTACAAATTACTTTTTCTTAAAAGTAATTATTAAATATCCTTACAGTCTTCCACAGTGAAGTTAAAAGAACATTACACAGTGTTGTCATGTTAGTTGGCCATGGTTAGTCAAGCTTTTTGATTTCTGTTCAGATGTGTAATGTATAAGGGCTATCATAGATACAACTCCTAGCATTGCACAGATTTAAATAGCAAACTGAAATGATGTTAAGAGCCAGATACTCAGCTAGAGTAGATATTACTTCAGCACTACACTAATTGTATGAGACATGTTTCTGGCCCATAAGATCAGCGTTCTTGAGGAAATTTTTTTCAGGGATAGCTACTTAGCTGTTCTAAATTACATAAGAACCACAAGAATTTGGCTGGGATGATCCTACAGTGTGATTTTTCTTTCAGTATTTAATCAGTAGGTGAAAAACTGTTGGCAGCTTTCACCCACTTTTCTTGGCATCTTGTTCTTTTTATCTGTATATAATGTGTGTGTCCATTTGTACAGTAGCAGGAATTCAAATGCTCCATTCCTAAGTGTGATGTAAAGGAGAGTAATTGTTGAACTATGTGATTGATGAAAAGAGAACATGGAATAGCGTCAAAGCACGAGGGCCCAGTGGACTACCGATCGCAAATAATAATCTGAATTCAGCCTGTTTTTCTGTTCACAAATCGCTAACAACATTTTTTCAGCTTTATTAATTCACTTTTGCATATGTTCAAATGATTTGTACACATGCACTCGTAACGCTAAGTTGTAGCTGAAGACCTGTAAGCCCTGCCCCGGCAGTGACCTCAGACCGACACGGCTATGATAGCACTGCTACACTGAGAATTGCTGGTGGCAGCTGTTTCAGAGTGAGCTGGCTGCTCATTGGCATTGCTATGGTCTCTGTTCAACATACGCTTCTTTAAAGAAAAAAAAAGGAGATTTTTACGGCGTCATTTCCTAGTGGAGGTACTGCCCATGCGGCTGGCTCTCCAGAAGCTTCCTGCTTTCCCCTCTTGCTTCTTTACCAGTGGATGTGTATCTTGGTCAAAGGTTTTCCTCCTTCCATTCAAACCACCTACCATGGGAAGCCGCAAGCATGGTTGGGCTTAAATAGTAGGATGTCCCCAAGTTGCAGGTATGGACATTAGGAGGAATTTTTGCTTGCCCAGATTTTCTTAAGCTTCTGCATGCAGCATAAATCAGGCAAGAGAGCATAAGGAGAGCTCAGAAACAAAGCCACTAGAAGGCTTCTGTTTTCAGTGTGATGGGAGAAATGTTGAAGTTGCTCTGAAACTGGGTTGAGTCATGTTTTATAGGCACTATAAAAAAGTTAAGAGGAAAGCACATTTATTGTATTACTGTAAAATATTATTGTAATAACTGCAGTGTACTGTAATCTCCCATGGAATATGGGAAGAGAACAGTTACATGTTCAGAATATATAATTAAAAAATGAAATGGAAAAATATTTGAGAAAGTAGTTAACATACATGTAAAAAACAACTAAGCTCTTTTAATATTGAAAAAAAACCCAAACACCTAAAAGCATGTGACAGTGGGTCACACTGTGGACTAAGTATCTGAAAAATAAACAACCCAAGGGCCAAACAATTTTTCTGCACAAAGAATTGAGGGATTTTTTTTCCCCCTTCTAGAATGCGAGGAATGTCCAGCCGGGTCTGTAATGCTCATGGAGGATCTGGGAGGGCTTTGAGGTGGTTACAGTGAACTCTCGTGTTTCAACTGAAGGCTAGACCAAAGAACTTTTTCTTGGTTGAAGGCTGAATAAACCTTTCAGGCTGAGCCACTCATTGACACATGCCTTACTGTTATCCTGAAATAATGTGTCTCCCCCCCAAAATATTGCTGGCAAGTGGGCCATGTGGTGTGCATTTGCAGGCTCTACCAGGCCCACGGAGCACGTACCCTCCACAGTCGTCCATGTCAAACCTTTGACTTCACTCTTGCAAGACAGTTATTTGTCCTTGAACAAAATCCACTGTTTTTCGTAACCAAACTCTTTGTCACTATTTCCATTAGTTAACCAAATTAGTGACTGGGTCGCTTACAGGACAATGACTCATCAGTTACAGGGCAGCCCTGACCTTGCCTCACAGAGGCCACCCCTGCAACCCTTCGCACTACCACAACCTTGTCACCTACACCCAATACGTAAGGGAATCAAATCTGTTATTCTCCCTGTTGAACAAGTTTCCAGTCATTAAGCTTTTTGAACTTCAGCAAAATCTGAATTTTTGCTGTGAAGGACTACTGGAGGACATTTTGTGGGATAAATATTTTCCTTCTAGATCATAGATTATAAGGAAACAAAGATCCAGCCAATTCTTGCTCTGTGTATTGTCTCTTAAGGCTCAGTTTGTTGGATGAGTTAGGATAAATGCTGTTTCTTAGTCATTCACTGATAATCACACATGAAAGCATTCTCATAATAATATTTTTCTGTAGATCTTAATTAATTCTAGAACACTATTATTTTAATATTCTCTGTTACTTTCCTGAAGAACAGGCTATCCCACTGCAGTGCATATAGAATCCCCACAGAAAAGGCCACCAGCAGATCTGCATGGGAAGTATAGGTTATTGCAAGACAGCTATTTTTTCCCAGAACTTTTCCAGTCCACATTGAGAAAGGACAGAACAGGTTGTAGGTGGAGTCAAGGACCCACAAATAGTGAATATTTGCTACACAGAAGGCAATGCTTAGTCTTTGCAACCAACGGCAAAGCATCTGGGTCTGTCAGTGGGCAGTACAACTGCGACTGCTTGTTGCTGTTTTTAAACGCTGCTGTTGAAAGAAAAGTTGGTGCTGGACCATCAGTCTCAAGTGGGCCATAACTGAGCCATGTATTGGTAGCTTTTCCTCTTTGCTGTTTCTTTTAGTAGCTGGCTAGGAGTCTCCAAAGCACCGATGTTTCTTCTAAAAGGTTGTGTTTTGTGTGTGTAAAAGCAGCATTTAATATTGCATAAGGAAGGGCCAGCAACAAACCCTGGCCCAATGCATACCTTGGTCTTGGACACTCAGCTTGTGGTAATAAGTGAGGAGTTCTGCATTTTTCTCCTTTTTAGGACTTATTTTTTCAAATGCTCTAGCTTTGCTTATAATAGTGCACCAATCTCACTAGCCTGGGTTAGCTTGTTCAGAATTGACCAAGAACTCTGTTTTAAAGTTATTTTTTATTATAATCCACCTACTCACATACCCTCTGTAAAACCTTCTTGCATTACTGTGGTACAAAACTTGTTCTTTCTGTTTGTGCCTCTGTTCACTTGTTAATCTAAACCAAGGGTGCTCAATTTGCATATCTGACAGATAATTAGAGGCTCCAGTTGATCAGATCGGCTTCTCCTCTTCTTCCTGCCACTCACACCAGTCTGGGAGCGTTCCCCTGCTTGCTGTTCGCTGTCATGCCTCCCGTATTTCAGGCTATACCCGTCCCATTTCTTCCCATACTGTCACTCCCCCTTCCCGCTGACTCTCCCCGGATTGGGAGAGGGAGGAGGTTGGGAGCAGAGGGAGGGAGGTCGTGGGGTGCGGGCAGAGCTGTTGTACCTGCAGCGCGTACCAGGGGGCAATGACTGGACCGAGGGCCAGCTTCCTAACGAGGACAGGCTTCGCTGCAGCTCACCAAGCTGTCCACACGTGTGTACTTTCCAGCTGTTGGCTGCCTAACTGTCAGGCGTGTGCTGGTCTGGCTGCAAACCCTTCTCTTCCCCGAGCTCAGTCAGACTTCACGTGCTGATCTGCTAGCTGCCAGCCAGCCAGCTACATCACGCTTTAGGCCGTATGTTGCTCAATTTGGATTTACATCAGCACTGCGCCTGAGCAGCATATTTATGTAACCTGTACTAGAGCTGGGTGGCTGCTGTCCCCTCTGGTAGCTGGCAGCAGTGAAAATTACGGGCTTGCAGCTGACTTTGCAGGTAACCTTCCTTCCTAACATAGGTAGGAGGCAGAGGGCGTACCAGGTAACAGGGAGAACTCTGTCACACTAAACGCTTAAATCCTATCGGAGAATCATTTCAGGCTTCAGATCTGTGGGCCAGCATGAAGCCATTAGATACTGGTGGGCAGGAGGCTTTTTCCCTGGAACAAACACCTGTGAAATATTTGCTGACTTGAGTCATGCAAAATGCCTGGTGCGGTGTCAAGTGAGTGCTAACGGGGCAAGGACAGTGATCAATCTGGTCGTAGCTGCTAGTGTGACCGTGTCATCAGCTCTTCTGACGTAGTGTTATCACCCTTTCATTAGGCTGCCAAGCACACCATGGGCAGCTTGCAAGTGGTTTACATTCTGACCCTGAACGTGCAGGCAAGAGTAGTTTAACTACGGGTTTTGTCTTTAACTGTAGTCTGGAGGTTTTGCCATTTCAAAAATAACCAACGTCCAGGCAATTAGTCAGTTGCACTATAGCTTATTTTCTGTATGTATATCGTTTTGGCAACTGCTATATTTTTGCTGTATTTTAACCTTACTCCCCAGTACTTCTCATCAGACCTCAACAGCTTCCATCTTACTTTCCTTTAGAGATCAGTTTCAGGCACTGGAGATTTCAGTCAAATTTGTTTTAAATACTGTTGCTTTTAAATATCCTTTTCCATTTAACACTCGGGCTTCTTACGTGTTTCTGTATTTGAAAACATACCAGAAGGAAAAAACCCCGAATTCTGTCTGGATTTTCTGTGTCTTCTGAAATATCCTATCTTACTGATAAGCATGACAATAATATGAATTGAATAAAGGTCCCATGTGGCTGAGTTGCTAAAGCTACAATATTGAAATCTCCAAGTCTTCCTTGTATTTAATTCTGGGTCATCCAGTTTATGCCTTTCAGCCTACCTCTCAGACTCTACCCTTTTGAGGATTGTCTTTGCAGGTAAACTGAGGAGAGAAATTATTTTCTAATATTTGTTATATTCTTTCATTAAACCATGATCCCGAGGTGTAAAAGAATGAATTAGACCTGGGACCCCTGCAGTGGACACCTGTATTCCCAGTCTCGTAACTGTTCAGAGTTAATAGGACCTGCCTGTTAATCCCTAGGTCTTTGAGAGGCACCCAAAATGCTTGTGTCCACAGTTTTAGGAGCTGTGCCATAAAACCTGACCTGAAGTCCCCTGTGCCTCAGTTTCTGTATCTTCCAAGTACTTGCATAGTGACTCTTGGACCTAGTGGCTATTTTCTTCATGTGGATTTGTGAAGTGGTATTGAGTTCCTCCCACGATCGGGCTCCTTAGGCAATCAAAATACTTCTGACAAAGGAAAACGTGCAGAAATGTCGAATTCCTGTTTTCCAGTTGCCAGATTTCCTGCAACCAGGAAGACAAGTAGGGAATATGAAAGTGCTGGCATTTTCTCTTGTGTTTTTATTGAACTGGATACTTAGATGTTTTGAACACATTCAAAGCTAAATAAATTGCCATCCTTCAGGACTTGCTAAAACCACTTCATAGTTGCAAAAACTCAAGAGTCTTTTGAGATGGAACTGTGAAGCAGGGAACAAGAGCAGCAGTTATTTCAGCCAGCTTTCCTCCTGCTTTTATTTTTGTTTGCTTCGTTCTCATTATTTCTCTCCTTGCTAATCGTACTTCTGAAAAATGTGATGTTAATATTTTTAATCACCATATCCATAATACAATAGTTGTATTCAAAATAGACAGAAGTTCTCTATTTCCTCTTACTATTTTCAGTGACAGAGAGTTTAATGTCCTTTCCTCACCAGAATGGAAAACTGTAAAATTTTGAGTCTCAAACTGCATCTGGAAGGTGCTATCTTCCTAAGGAATATCTTTTTAGACAAAAATGTGCTTAAAATTTAGTTAGGATTGTAAAATACTGTTTGCAGTCTTCCTTGAGCAGACTCTGAAGCCTATATACAGTTCAAAAAGACTTGGAAAGGGGGGTGAACAGAAGAGGGAGAATGACCATCTAGGGATGACTTACTTTCAACGTAATTGTTATAAATTCTCATTATTTTAAACATGAGAGTGAGTAAGAAGTGATTAGGTTTTCCAGCAGAATATTTTTTCCATCAGAAAGTGACAATTTGTTTTGGAAAAGAACTAAATGACATCTTAAGACCTTTTTAGAACATGGGTTTATGTCAAGAAAGGAAGCACCGGAAGGTTTAAAAAAACCCACAGTTAAATTAAAACAGTTTAACAGAACATTGTAGTTATTGGAATAAAAGGTTGGAAATGTAACTTTGAGCATCCACATCTCTAACAGTTTAGTATTTGAGTTGTATCAAAAAGCGAAAATATGCAGAGGCATTCCTACGGGGTCCCCTATCTCAGGCAGTGTTGTTTGTGAGCTGTGCATGGAGATTGGAAAATACTGATATTTCTGAGGGTGCCAGGAAATGGGTTGATACAGTCAGTTTTGAGTAGTCTGAGATGCTGCTGCACGTTTGCTGTTAGCTGCTTGCTTTTCACTACTGAAGGTGTCACCCTGGGTTGCAAGTGATTACAGCAGGTTTTAGCTCGGTTACTGTAGCTTGGTTGACAAGGCAGTAAATTCCACTTGGTGGGGCTGCATCATCCCAAAGCACCCAGGCTTGGCTGCAGGAAGACATTTGACTGGTATATGACATATAACTATGTCAGGAGTATCTTAAGTAGAGAAAGTTAGATTGTTATATTGTGTTGGTACCCTGTATTAGCAGAGTGAAGCTTGTAAATATATTTTCTGGTCTGAATCTAAACTCAATGTCTTTGTTTCCAGTATGGAAAACATTCTAGCATCTCTGGTTCTTTATATTTTTACTTCATTGAAGCATGCCATGTGAAGGTCTGTGGTTGAAAATGGAGAAGGTGTGTGCTGAAGGGTGCAATGGAGGACAGAAACGGTTAGGACAGACAGATGCAAAGTCAAAGTTATGGTTCCACAAAACACTTCTGTGTTCAATTTTGAAGCTTTCTAAAATTGTTTAATGTTTTATGTTTTTTAAACAGTTTCCTAATTTAACAGGTGCTTTAAACATTTATGCCTCTACTGTCTAAGTTTGAGAAGTTCACTCTCTATTTAAATACCTGAAAAAGTACAAGAGGGTTTAGTGTGAAGTGTAACATTTCCTTCTTTTAAGGTCTGTATGTCACTGCAAGTACTTGCGCTTTGTGGGCACAAGTATGGGCCATTTACTTGCATTTTATAGGCTTGTGCTAGCTTCTGTATAAAAAGTGTTAAAAAACATTTAGACACCTATCATTATTACAGTTTATGTTTTGATTAAAAGAGTTACAATTTTCCACTGATTTTGCAGTACAGGGTTAACTTGTTTCTGTTAAATTGAATCCCTTCTAGGGTGAAGTTGTGGAATTCCTTGATGAACTGTTGGAAGTGGAGGAAAAGAAGGAATCCTGAGAGTGAAATCACCACAAAGTATTTTACAGAAGTGAAGATTCACCACTGCCCCTTACTATTGTTTTTGGTCACCTGTAGTTCCAGTTAGATGCACGTCAAAGCTCCGCCTTATGTCAGAAGATCCACTCCTGAAAGATCACTTCCATGCTGCACTGACTCTTCCGTGAGCATGGCTTTTCAGTGTGCCTTTACAGAATTGGTGCATATGGGTTTTCCTCTTGAGCTTCCTTTCCTGTACAAAACACATCAGACTATTCGTATTTTGGGGGTTAACACTAAGGTTCCTCATTTCAGTGCTGTTCTACTAAGTTATAACAGTACAGCTAAATTCTGAAGAACTTCTGTCAGATTATGAACCACAGAAGACACAACAGTTCCTCTAGACTTTCGGAGCTATGTATTGTATTATTTATGTATGTCTTTTTCTGTGATGATGAATAAAGTGATACTGAATTCTAGTGCACCTGAAAGATGTTAAGATACATTTGAATAGCTGAAATAAGGTGATTAACAAAGCACAACTGGTGATCTTGTAAAAATTGCTTAAAGAATTTTGTAAGCAGTGTTGATCTTTCTTAAAAATTAAATTAAATTCCATGATGTGAAACTGAGGTCACTTAGAACTGAATAATAAACAATTCCTTCTTCCTACCATTTCTTACTCTTTCTGTTGAAACAACTTGTGGTTCCTGTGTGAGATGGGGCCAACCTTGTATAAAATAGTGATGATTGATGTTTTTAGTATTCTCTTCTGTAGAAAGCAGTTTGCATGTTTTTTTCAGTCTGGTGGGACTAGCTGCCTAGTTTTCATCCAAAACTAAGTACTTTGAAGGCCCAAAAAATACTGTGTTAGAGATGAGTAGTGCACAATACTGAAGAGCAGAAATGCTGCTGACCTCAGAGGATCAAGTCCTGCAAGTGGATTCCTCCTGCTTACATCAAGGGGAGACAAGCATTCAGTGCTTCTATGACTGAACCCTAATTTGGCTGAATGGAAGTGAATTGGAAAACCAAAATCCACTTTACTGTTTTAAAAAGGCAAACCATGATCTGTAATAGCTTGCTGAGTTGCTGCTATAGCTTATGTATGCAGTAGAAGTATAGTGTCTACACTGTTGAGCGTCTACAGAGAACAAGAAGGGGAATCCACAGGATCAGGTTTAAGTGCCCTCCAGCCTGTGACAGCAATGAAACATTCTGAAATGCTAGCTGTGTGTGAAAGATGTGTGAAAGATCAGATTGGGGGTTTTTAGCTTCTTTAGTATAAATCACAACTAATCCTCTGAAGTCGATGGGCAGACTGTTTAATTCTCAAAATGAAAAGAGCCTTTTAACTTCAGGAGATTTATCCAGCTCCACTTGCAGTAACAAGACCAGAATCTGGCTTGCTGTATGCCTTGAACACACAGAGGTTGTATCAGATTTCCTTACGCTTTTTGTTCCACACACTATTAACACTCCATTTATCATCATTTTATGTAAGAATTGAACTTTGCCTTAAAAACTTACAAGGAGTTGATTGTAAACCATCACTTCCTCATGAAATACAGGTATTATACTACACAGCTGGGGTAGCTTCTCCCGTTTGTCCCTCCTTTTCTCTTGCTGGAGGTGTGTGTCTGCTCAAGGGAGAGGTTACTGCTCTGGAGGCCTCTTCTGTCCTTCAGCTTTCCAGGCTGCATAGGACATCTCCAGATTTCCTCTTCAGGAACTCAACCATTGGTATTAAGATCATACGTCCAAATAACTTTATCTTTGATGCTCTGGCTTTCGAAACCAGAAATCCCGCCATTAAAGGCATGGAGCTGCTTGGAGGCGGATGTATCCACCTACATTGCCTTCATTTTAGAACATTTTTAGTTTACTTCTTTCTTATCACCATTTACCAAACAGACTTAGGAGCTCTGTCAAGCACCGACTATTGTCTAGCTATTTGTTTCTGTGGTGCCCTAGCCCGTGTGCTGGCTGCAGCTACTTCAATGCAAAACCTTAAAGACTTCCAAAAGAGGTGCCTGGAATTCAAGTTCCTGGGCCTGAGGTTTTCCATAACTACACAACTTGTGTGGAAAGAACGTGTGCATAAAGCTCCTAATCAAATTTTGCCTGTTGGTGAAGCAAGTAGCATAGACTACTGCAGGTACGAGATGACAGAAAATCAGTTCCAGGATCTCTTTGCGTTGCCACCCAGAACTATTTCTTTCCAGTTAAAGAACTCCTTTCCCCTCTCCAGCACTAATTGTCAGAGATTGTGATAATAATTTTTTAAAGAAAAAAGTATGTGGTGAAGTATTGTAATATTTTCATTCCACTGGTAAAACACTGACCACCAGAGTTAACCTGTTTTGTGATTCGACTTCAGTGGGTTACACTGGGGATACATTTAGCACCTATGAGCCCTAATTTTTCCTCTTCATCAAACAGTTATTCAACCATTGCAAGTCTCTTGGGTATTATCAATTTTCTGGTAAGCTTGTGATTCTGTCTTTAAGGCTTCCTTAGCTGATCTCTTTTCATGTTCAGTCATTTCCTCAGCTCTCAACATTACAACCAAAATCCCCTGCCATTGTGCCTTCTCGGGTGGGGATTTCATGATTTACTAAGAAGTCCATTAGCCAATGATTTATTTTTCTTAAGCCTACATTAAGTAAGTCTGATGTCCTTTACTGTTCCATTTAACCTGAGGAGGCAACTGATACTCTTGCGGCCTCCTGAAATGGCACTGTGATCCCTTTTTCATTTTGTTCAAGTGTCTGTGGATTTTTTCTGGCTTTCTTAATTTCCATGACATACGGTCCCAAGCCAGTTCAATCTTAATAAGTACAAGTAGTTCTCAAACCCTTGTTCTTTTCTAATGAGAAATAGCTCCTCTTCCAGTTCTTCAGTATTTATTGTGGCTTTTTTCAGCATTCTCAGGTTCTTTTAACTGATTTTTCTTTTGCTGCTGCTATTGTTAAATGCCAACATTTACATGTGACTGCAATAAATTAGTGACTTTTCTTCCACTTCTCTGATCCTGCCAGCTCTTCTTGGGAGGCTGCAGGAATATGGTTTTTGCCTCCCTTCTGCCACCTCAAAGTCTTGCAGTTGTGAGTTGTCTGCTTCAGATGTTAGCAGCTTCTGCCTAACCTAATGGGATATTTGGATTTTGTCTCTATTTCTTTTTCTGAGATGGCTTACCATAGATGCTGATGCTCAGGGAAGCATCAGTTCACTGAAGCCACGGCGTCACATGTCTGACATGAACGCAGCATTGGTGCCATGTGTCTGCTGACCCTGAGCTGACTTGAGAGGAAATTTGTATTGACCTCAGTGGCAGGATTGCTTGCTGTAGAGCTGTACAATTACGCTTTTTAATAATTGCTTGCATTTCTAGCAACAAAGCTGGCTATTTGGGTAGCTGATCCTCCACTGTTGTCCTCCATTGATCCTCCATTGACTGCTGGCTGTCAGGACAATCTTTCTCATGTGAGAACCAAAGCTTGCACAAGGGAAGAGACTGACAGGTTGGAAATCAGTGTATCTGACAGACTGTTCTAAGTATGTAATCTTTTTCAAATTAATACCTTCTCTTACTGTTAGTAATTCTTCATGTATTACTGGCTTCTTGCTAATTCATCCCCCCCATAAACAGCGATATTGATTACAAAAATGAAGAAGGGTGGTAGTGATTCTCCTACTCAGTTCTGTTTCCATAAAACAGCATTGCAGGCCACATACTTCTGTGTCTCGGCAATTCCGATAGCCAATAAAGTCAGCTACAAAAAATAATTGTTTTTAGAATGATCAGTACTGGCAAGTTCAACGGGAATTCAAATGTCCTGCTGGGCCCTTTCATTTACCATAGTGATTCTGCAAGCAAACCTTCTTTACTTATGTTGACAAGGCATGAGCCAAAAGCAAATTAAAATTGCTCCATTTTCCAGAGCTTGACTGCCTTGGAATGCTGAAATATAAACCCAAAAGTTAGTCAGAAGTTGTTCTCAATTCACCTGGAAAGCCTGTCTGACCAAGGAGGTGCCATTCTTTCATATTTGCCAGAGTCATTTCGAGGTAGAATTAAAGGTGCATCTCCTCAAGACAAGCTATTCCCCTGAAAATCCAATAGCATGTCCTGCTCTACAAAGCTATTTCTCAATAGGCTGTTGCCATTAATATCCACTGTGTCTCTTCACATCCTTTACAGTGAATTATTGGTCTATATTGATAATGAAGGCAGACTTAGAAGGTCTTTCAATTTCTGGAGAGTCTTCATGAAAAATGGTTTAAATAGCATGCAAATTTTACAGCTCTGAAAACGGAGTTGTGATTAGACAAAGATTTGTTGGATTATAAACGTACAAGTGTTTATTATGGCTGGTACTGAGAATAAACAGTTGCCTGCATATGCCAGCTACTATGGAAATATGTTTTTAAGTTCTAATGTGAGCTGTAAACCAAAGCTACTTCAGTTAAAAAAATTCAATACTTAAACTGTGGGGAGAAGTAGTCAGTGCCAGAGAAAACATTCCCATTTAATAATGTTTGAACATAGAGCTATGATGCAGTTTGTAGCAAGGCAGTGAGAAAAACCCACAACTAATCCTTCATTGCAGCTGTCTGAACTTTTGGTTGTCTGCCATACTTTAAACAGCGACTTCTTTTTTCTGGTGACTCAAGACTTGAATGACCTAGTGTGGAGAGTTTAAGCTATATACAAAAAAGAAGTTAAGTAAGAAATAGCCAAAGTAAGTTGGGTTGCACCTCCCAGCAAATCAGGGGTTTGTATATTAAGTCCTTTACAGTGCCTAGGGAAAAAATATTAAAATAAATAGATACCTATTTATTTATTTATTTTTGGCAAGAAAATATTCAGCAGTTTAGACACCTATCTCTCATCCCTCCCCTCTTCTCTCTCCTTAGAGTACTGATGATATATGGAAACTAAATTCTGTAGAGAGTTCTGAGTTTTTAAGTGTACAAATGCTAACCTTTTCTGTAGAAAAACTTTCTAAGTTTTATTTTATTATTTTAAACTTTTTCTTCCCTTTGATGTATCTCTTGGGTAGGCCTTTTAGGTGGCATGAAGTAACAAATCTGTTTTTTTACTGATTAATTCTTTTGCAAAGTAATGGAACTTGCTTACTTTCAAGTAGAAATATGGGGGTCAGAGGTGTAACTTTATGTGACTACTAACTTTAAAGAAAAAAATTGGGAGTTTCTGCCTTTGCCTCATTCTCACTATCACTTATCTGAAAGGGGATTAAACATTTGACTATTATCTTGAACTGAAGGTAACCCTGAAGTTTGACAAGTCTTACAACTATCTAGTAATTTCTTGTCACAACTAATTTTTAAAATGGTTATTCATAGCTACATGTATCTTTGCATTACAAATTATTGGATACAAAAAAACCCATAAATTCTTTTAATGGAAGAAAAAAATCAATCTATGCTGCCTTCAATGCCCCTGGCAACAAATCCCCAACATAATAGCTTTTGAGGTACCATACACAATAAGGCAGGACAGCACAATAAAGTAGATATTGTCATCTAGCTGGCAAATGCAAGGGCAAGCAGAGAAATTTAGGGGATTTCAGACTGAGAACTCACAGAATACCTAAAATCCATGATTTTAGTGTACAAAGGGAAACGAACACCATTTGCTTGAACCTCCA